CAACTGATTGGAAGAGATCCATATTTGTACCCATTCCAAAGAAGGGTGATCCCACAGAGTGTGAAAATTATCAAACAATATCATTAATATTGCACACAAGTAAAACCTTACTGAAGATAATTCAAAAACGGTTGCAGCAGTATATCGGGAACTTCCAGAGGTGCAGGGTGGATTCAGAAGAGGATGTAGAACAAGGTATATCATAGCTGCTGTCAGATGGACACTGGCTCAAAGCAATGAATACCAGAAAGATGTTTATTGACCAGAAAGATTTTATTGACTATACAAAAGTATTTGATTGTGTGGATCATAACAAATTGTGAATAACGTTGAGAAGAATGGGAATTCCAGAACAATTGTACTCATGAGGAACCTGTACATAGACCAGGAGGCTGTCGTTTGAACAGTACAAGGGAACACTGCATGGTTTAAAATCAAGAAGGGAGTGTGTCAGGGTTGTATCCTTTCACCATAGTTATTCAATCTGTATGCTGAGCAAGTAATCCGAGAAACTGGAGTATATGAAGAACTTGACATCATTATTGAAGGAAGAATCATTAACAACCTGCGATACGCTGACAACACAACTTTGCTTGCTGAAGGGGAGGATGACTTGAAGTGCTTACTGATGAAGATTGAAGATTACAGTCTTCAGTATGGATTACATCTCAATATAAAAAAAAATCCACACAACTGGACCTATAAGCAGCATTACGATAAGTGGAGAAAAGATTAAAGTTGTCAAAGACTTCACATTGCTTGGTTCTACAATCGAAGCCAATGGAAGGAGCAGTCAGGATATCAGACGATGTATAGCACTGGGCAAGTTGACTGCCAAGGACCTCTTTCAAGTGCTGAAGAGCAAAGATGTCTCCATGAGGACTACGGTGCACCTGACACAAGCCATGATATTTTCAGTTGCCTCATATGCATGTGAGAGCTGGACAATGAATAAGGAAGACCGAAGAAGAATTGATGCTTTTGAGATGTGGTGCTGGTGAAGAATGCTAAAAGTACCATGGACTGCTGAAAAAGCTAACGAATATGCCCTGGAGGAGGTGCAGCCGGAATGCTCCTTGGAAGTGAGAATGGCCAGACTTCATCTCACCTACTTTGGTCATGTTGTCAGAAGGGACCATTCCCTGGAGAAGAATGTCAAGCTTGGTAAGGGGAGGGTCAGCGAAGGAGGGAAAGGCTCTCAATGAGATGGATTGGCACAGTGGCTGCGGCAGTGGCCTCAAGCATAGCAGGGATCACAGAGCTAGTGTGGGACCGGGTGGTGTTTCATTCTGCTGTGCATGGGGTCGCTATGGGTTGGAGATGACTCGAGGGCACCTAACAACAACAACAATAGTGGCTTAAAACAACATGAATTTCTTTGTCTTGCAGTTTTGGAGGTTAGACATCTGATATGGGTCTTGCTGGGCTAAAATCAAGGTGTCAGCAAGGCTGTATTCCTTCTGGAGGCTCTAGGGGAGCATTCATTTTTCTTGGCTTTTCTGGCTTCTTAGTGGCTGCCAGCACACCTTGGCTGTGTCCCTTCCTCCATCTTCAAAGCCAGCAGCGTAGCATCTTCAGATCCCTAACTTTCTTGCCTTCATCTTTTACTAATAAGGACCCTTTTGATTACATTGGATCTATGCGAATTATCCAGGAATGTCTCCTCTCAAGATCCTTAGTTTAATCAAATCTACAGAGTCCCACCTGCAATGTAATTTTACATATCCCCAGGTCCCAGGGATTAGGGCCTGGACATTTTTGTGGTGCCATTCTTCTCCTACCATGCTTTGTCATAAGCACTTTCATTAAGTTACCTCATATATACACAGTAACCCTATGTGAGAGACATAATTGTCCTTATAAGAAAGGGGAGTCCAGAAAAATAAAAGGAATTTGTCTAGGAAAGTATTGGAACTAAAACACGTAGCCAGGTCTTTCTGACTGCCAAGCCTTCCTCTGGTCCCTGTTTGGCTTTCTTTTTGGAACTCATTTCTCTAGCTGCCCCATGAGATGGATCTGAAGGCTTTCTCATGTTGCTGCCTATTCGTGGCTCACCTGCCTCCTGGACCACAGAGAAAGCCAGACACTTCAGAGGACAGATCCCATATCTGCCCCACTTTGACCCAGACTTGAGCAATCATTTCTGTTCATGACGCACGTTTTCTCTGTGCATCCCTCCTTTACAGTGACCAGGCCCAGACATGGGTGGCTGGGTTAGGATTTCACTGAGGAGGAGAAGGGGCACCTTGCCCTCTGCTCACCTTCTCCACTTAGCTGACAAAAACCCCTTTGAACAGAGAGCTGAGTTCTTTTCACTCCAAAGTTAGCACCTGAGGTGTAGAAGGCATGCATCTCTAGGGCACTAACATGGTGATGGTGTCACATGAGATATTCATCATCTCTCAGCCTTTGACACAAATGGGAAGAAACAGGGTGTGCGGACAGTGGGCACCAGGAAAGGGGATGTGGAGGAAGCCTGACTGCCTTGAAAGGCAAAGGAATCCTGAAGTAAGACTTTTCTGAATTTGCAGAATTTTTTCCTCAGGGACTCTCCTTCCTGTTCCCTTTAAAACTGCCCCCAGCAATGTAAATGTAAAACTCTCCAAGTTAAAGGCAGGAGGGAGAAGTTAAATGGAGGATGTTGCATGCAAGGGAGATATTTCAATGACATTTGTGCTGTAGATTTCAAGATGAGTCATTAGTGGAGAGCGATTCCTATGTGTTCTTACATGATATCAGAGAAGCTCTGGTGGCATAGTGCCTAAGGCACTTGACTGCTAAGCAGAAGGCTGGCGGTTCAAAGCTACCAGCCACTCCTTGGAAGGAAGGTTGGGCAGTCTACTAGTGATACTGCCTCGGAAACCTAAGGAGAGGTCGCTGTGAGTTGGACAGTGAGTTTGGTTTTTGGTTTGGTCTCAGGGTGCTGCCTCTGAATAATTAGGTGCCTCTTCGTATGCACGCATGTTTGGAAGTTGGGCAGTACCGCATAAGATTTAGAAACAATATCTTGTTGGCTGGCTGTCTAATCTGTCTAATCTGTCTAAACTACTTGCTTGTAAACACTGATATGGTATTTACCATGTGCCAGGCACAGTTGTAAGCATTTTATACACACTCATTTGTTTCTTAAAATAGTCCTTATTGTATTACACCCATTTTTCAGATGACAAAACTGAAGACAAGTTAAATAATTTGCCCAAAGTCATGCAGCAAGTAATTGGCAGAGCCAGGGTTTGAACTTGGGTGTCTTGGCTCCAGAGTCCAGGCCCTGAAGTACCTGCTGTAGGTTATAGGCACCCTGAGGTAAAAAGAGGAGCATGGTTTCTACCTGTATTTACAACCTGATAGCAATGATAGAATAAGTATATATGAAAATGTATGAGAATACAGCCAACCAATAAGGAAAATAATATATTCTCAACTGTAATCTATTCAGTTATCCAATATTTACTAAATGGCCCTGAGTATCCAAAGATAAATCCAGTGTAATCATTGGATTTTGATTTAAATTTAAATTCTGTGTAATAAGTACACTAGAAGCCTGTATAGGAGACTGTGGAAGACTTCAGAAGTGGCACCAACTCAGATTGGGCGGGGGGCGGCGTGGTTAAGGAAGGAGAGGGATATATCGAAGTTGGTGATGCAAAGAGATGGGGAAAGGGCATTCTAGGCAGAGAGGATACATGGACCGAGGGCTGAACGTGAGGAAGGTGCAGGCAGTTCTGCAGCATGTAGGCGGTGGGCCAGGGAATGGGCCGGGGGGCATTATGAGCAGGGACCACAACAGAAATGATGCCTTGCCCAGCCCAAGAGGGCAGTAGCTCTGTCCCATGTTAGTAATGGGACTAGGAGGGGTCTGGAGATAAGGAAGACAGTGCCACTGCCCCCTCCTCTTCAGCTACCCCCACAAGGCCCAGTGCTGGTGGCAGCGAGCATCCTTCTTCAAGCCTGGGTTAATTTTGTCAATAGACATTGCATCCCCCAAGGAATATCTCTCCAAATGGTACTGCGTCACTCGGTTCATTACTGCTGTCATCACAGTCAAGGGCAAGAGTGATTACAGCTTGCAAGAATGTTTCTGAAGCATCAGTTGGATGTGAATTTTGCCTAAAGTAACCTGTGACCTAGATGCAGTGTTCTAGCATTTTTCTGCATTCTCTGTCACGTGTCCCTCTCCACTCAAAGCCTCACTTGTTGTCTGTGTTCTCTGAAAATAAATTGGAAGGTATAGGCAGGGATATAGGAGTCAGTCCAGGTAATAGCTCTAAAGTCCAGGGTCCTGAACAGAATTTTGGAAAGGAACTTTGTGAGTCTTCCAGTTCTGAGATGTGCCAGGGGGGCCGTCTTCATAAGCCCTGCTCCCAGCACCAGACAGGCTGCCCCTAGCCCAACAGTTCATTGAATTTATTGTTCAAATTAGACCAGAGTTGCCCTCAATCTACAGCCTTGATGATTAGATAGTAGCATTAGGATGGAGGCATGAGGGATCAAACTGCCACCTTATAGAGATGTCACTAATAAAATCCACAACGTATTGAATTGTTCATTGTTGTTGTTGTTGTTAGCTGCCATTGATTTGGTTCTGACTCATGGCGACCCTGTGTACAACAGAACGAAACACTGCCCAGTCCTGTGCCAGCCTCACAAGAGTTGCTATGCTTGAAACTACTGTTGCAGCCCCTGTGTCAGGCCATCTCTTTGAGAGTCTTTGCCTTTTGTGCTGACCCTCACTTTTCCAAGCATGATATTCTTCTCCAGGAACTGGTCCCTTGTGACAACATAACCAAAGTACATGAGACAAAGTCTGGCCATTCTCTCTTTTAAGGAGCATTTTGGATGTACTTCTTCCTAGAAAAAAATTGTTCTTTCTATTCTGGCAACTCAGTATTTTCAATATTCTTCACCAATACCACAATTTAAATGCGTCGATTTTTCTTTGGTCTTCCGTATTCATTGTCCAGCTTTCACATACATGTGAAGCAATTGAAAACATCATGGCTTGGTCAGGCACACCTTAGCCTTCAAAGTGACATCTCTGCTCTTTAACACTTTAAACAGGTCTTTTGCAACAAATTTGCCCAGTGCAAGATGATGTCTGATTTCTTAACTGCTGCTTCAGTCAACATTGACTGTGGGTCCAAGTAGAATGAAATCCCTTACAACTTCAGTCTTTTCTCCATTTATTGTGATGCTGCTTATTGATCCAGTTATGAGGACTTTTGTTTTCTTATGTTCAGGTGTAATTCATACTGAAGGCTGTTGTCTTTGATCATCATCAGTAAATTCTTCAAGTCATCTTCACTTTCAGCAAGCAAGGTTTTATCATCTGCATAGTGCAGGTTGTTAATGAGTCTTCCTCCAATCCTGATACTATATTCTTCTTCATATAGTCTAACGTTTCAGGTTATTTACTCAGCATAAAGATTGAATGAATATGGTGAAAGGACACAACCCTGATGTACACCCTTCCTGATTTTAAACCATGCAGTATCCCCTAGTTCTTTTTGAATGACTGCCTCTTGGTCTGTGTACAGGTTCCTCATGAGCACAATTAAGTGTTCTGGAATTCCCATTCTTTGCAAGGTTATCAATAATTTATGATTCACGCAGTTCAATGCCTTTTAATAGTCAATAAAACACAGGTAAACATCTTTGTAGTAGTTTTTGCTTTCAGCCAAGATCCATCTGACACCAGCAATGATGTCCCTCATTCTACATCCTCTTCTGAAGCCAGCTTGAATTTCTGGAAGTTCCCTGTCTATATACTGCTGTAACTGGTTTTGAATTATCTTCAGCAGAATTTTATTTGTGTATGTTATTGCTTGGACAAGGAATAAGGAAGGCTGAAGAAAAGTTGAGGCTTTTGAGTTGTGGTGTTCACGAAGAATACTGAAAGTTCCGTGGACTGCCAAAAGAACTAACAAATACATCCTGGAAGAAATGCAGCCAGAACGCTCCTTGGAAGCGAGAATGGCCAGACTTCATCTGACCTGCTTTGGTCATGCTGTCAGAAAGGACCATTCCCTGGAGAAGGATATCATGCTTGGTAAAGTGGAGGGTCAGCGAAAGAGGGGAAGGCCCTCAATGAGATGGACTGACACAGTGGCTGCAAGGATGGGCTCAGGTGTAGTGAGGATTGTAAGGTTGGCACAGCACCGGGCACTGTTTTGTTTCATTGTACATAGGGTTGCTATGAGTCAGAGCCAACTTGACAGCACCTAAGAACAACAACAACCATATTTTTGCTTGATAATTTCCAAATTCTGTTGGATCACCTCTCTTTGGAATGGGCATAAATATGGCTCTCTTCCAGTTGGTTGGCCAGGTAGCTGTCTTCCAAATTTCTTGTCATAAACTAGTGAGTCCCTCCAGTGCTGCATTCATTTGTTGAAACATCTCAGTGGGGATTCTGTCAGTTCCTAGAGCCTTGTTTTTCACCAGTTCCCTCAGTGCTGCTTGGACTTCTTCCTTCAGTACCATCACTTCTTGATCATATGCTGCCTCCTGAAACAGTTATATGTCAACTAATTCTTTTTGGTACAGTGACTCAATGTATTCCTTCCATCTTCTTTTGATGCTTCCTGTGTTGTTCAGTATTTTGCCGATCAAATCTAAAGTATTGCAACTCAAGGAATTGAATTCTAATTTATTTTTATTTCCATTTTTCTGGGTTTTATTTCCTGGGGTAGTAGATGATGAATGGAGACCACCCAAAGCTGTCAGTAGTAGATTAGGGCCTCCTACTCTTTTCCTGATGAAGAATTTCTTCTGATTTCTTACAGAGGATAGAGTTGTTGGGGGTGACAGTTGAATGAATAAACTGCTGTTCAGGAGGGAAGCAACTACTCTGCAAAGGCTTATTTTGTGGAGTTCAGTAAGGGCAGGTGTGGGGAAAAGGGACTGGTGGCTGTTGGCACTAGAGAGCAGCTGCCCTGGAACTTTTTATTTGATATTCTAGCATGTTACTCTGTTTCCCAACACCAAGCGTTCCTACAGAGCACATTTTCCATCTTTGGTCCCTGCACTGACCTTTAACCTCCTCCCCTTAACAGTATGTCAACCCTGCCTTTGAAAGGATGATGGGCTACCACAAAGGTGAACTCCTGGGGAAAGAACTCGCTGAATTGCCCAAAAGTGATAAGAACCGGGCAGACCTTCTCGACACCATCAACACATGCATCAAGAAGGGAAAGGTGGGTCATACAAGCAAAACAAATCCACATAGCCCTGCACAGTGCATTTTCTCCTGTGAGTTCTTATGTGATGGTCCTAGGATCTGAGTGTGTAATGATGTTATACTTCAAAGAAAAATCTTTGTTATGTTTGCCCAGTGGCTACTTAGAGATAATTTTGGACATCAAGTGTACCTTATGCTGATATAGAATCTGATGATTCTGTAAAATGAATTTGCATCCTTTGCACAACTATATCCCCCATTGTTGCTGGGTTATCATGCCTGTCTTTGAGCTGAGTCCCACCCCTCCAGCTTTTATTGCCACCCCTTTGTTTCCATTTATCTGATTCTGGGGGACTTGAAATGTATAATACTAGTATTTACAAGGCCCCCCATTTTTTTTTTTTTTTTTTTGCCTGTTTTCCCTTTTCTGATTTCTTTATTCATCGTGGTTCAGTATAGATGGGTAGCAAACTTCTCACTGCTACACCTGTTCCTCCAGTGGCTTCCACTTGCTTCCAGGCACATAGAGGCAACAGGATAAATGTAGGAAGGATTTTTCCCTCAAGGCTGTCCTCCAGGCAAACGTTGGCTCTCAAAGCTGAACTACCTGTACATTTTCTTTTAAGCATTCAGAATGCTTTCTCATGTATTATTTCTTTCATCTTCCTTTCTCTGATGTGAAGTAGTTAGATAAGCATTATATTCACTGGCTAAGGATGAATGAAAAGAGGATCGTTTTTGAGGGATACAGTAAGTTTGGATTATATATGATGGCCATAATGACTCAAAAACCATATTGGGGGAGTGAGACCAAAAAGGAAACAGGACATTGTAAACTACTCCTAAAAAATTGCCAAAAGAATCCCACCACACATCTGGTGACTTGGTATACATGCCAGTCATCCACCTCACTGGAGAGAGGGAGCAGGAAACGGCTGCCAAGAATCTCAGTTTTTGATTTAACCTGTCCCTCCCAGAAATAGTGGGTATGCCCCAGTGATCACTCTGAGGTCACTTCATCCCAGCCCAGGACCCATTTTGCCTCATCCATAGAAATTGTGCAAGGAACCAGTTTAACCCCAGGGATGCCTGGGCTGGGAGGCCACACAGGATGTTAGAAGGATGATGGGCTGTAGGGAGAGTTAAAGAGACAAATTTAAAACCAGGTCTTCCTGATGTGGGCAAATTAGTTGGGTAATCTGCGCCTCAGTTTACCCATCTATAAATTAAGAATGAGAATATTAAGCTCACAAAGTGGTTGTGAAGATTTTGAGAAAGACCTCAACAGAATCCCTGAACCAGTGATGGTTTCCTAGGAGAAGAGCAGAGACTCCGCTTCATTCCCAGCCTGGATACTGGTCACGTGTCCTGGGGCCCATAGGACAGCATGGTGGTGGGCGTGCTGAGCAGCGGTCCTCAGCACCTTGTGACTGGGAGCCTCATGTTAGTCGGCATCGCGGTGGGTGCAATGATAGAGTGTGCTGTGTGAAATGTAAGTAAAGCATGTGGGAATGTTCTTATTCAGTCTAATAAGATCCTCTGTGAAGCAGCCAGAAGCCATGACTAGAGGATTTTAAGAGCTGTCTTTGTCCATGTAGGAGTGGCAGGGGGTTTACTATGCCAGACGGAAATCCGGAGACAGCATCCAGCAACACGTGAAGATTACCCCAGTGATTGGCCAAGGAGGGTGAGAGCAAACTCTTGAACTCTTTTAGCTGAAATTAAGACTCAGGGCCCATGAAGGTGTTATATTTGCATTTTGAAATGCCAGGATAAAGATTAGACTCACAAATTCAGTAGAGTTAGACTCTAGAGAGTACATACCAAGGGCACCTCTGTTCTCTTGGCCTCAGCCCCTGATATAGCTTCGTCACTTCTCCACCCCCCACCACACACACACACCCTTTTCCTGCATATGGTCTTTTATGAAGCATCACTCCAGTTGCCCACCTCCACCTTATCATCTCTAGTTCCCTTGTCCCTACTACCCTATGAAGGGGCACAATTTCTAGGCCTTGCCCTTCATAACACAATGATCTCTGTCCAGAGCTCTCTGGCCTCAGGCCTCGCAGACAGCTGGCCTTCTCCCCTTCTATGGCACCAGCTGTCTGCTGGTGGGTGCTCTACAGGCTGACATTAGCCTTGTTCCACACGCAGTAGGAGAGCCCTGGAGGTCATTGGTTAAGGAGAAGATGGTGTGTCTGAGGTAATCTGATTCCATTTGTGTCTGGAGTAATCTGATTCCATTTCATCTCAGATTACCAGAGAAGCCTATTTATTTTGTGGGGAGATTTACAGAGCCAAACAGGATGCCCTAACACTAAATCACTGATGAGCTTTGTAAACCAGCCTGAAGGTCAACACCAACTTCACAGTATAGGTTTATAAGAGATACACAGCATTGTGTGATGTTTTGGAAAAAGAAAAGACAGCAGTGAGCATGTCAGTAGCTGGAACAGGAGAATCCCACCAGTAACTCTTAAGACAATCTGAGTGCCTCAAAGATTGTCACGTGATTAGAAAACCAGACATTCCAGAAAACCAACAAAGTGTTTGTGGATTGCTTTTCCTCCGATTTTACCTGTTTGGTTAGTTTTGAAATCATTCCCCCTTCAGTTCAGAGACCACTGCCTAGTATTTCATGCCATTTTTGTCATTGGTGGTCCTCTTTTCTTTCATTGTGGTTGGTAGTCTGGGCACTGATAGGTCCCTGACCAAGGATGACATACCACAGAGCAAGACTGCCTCCTGGGCTCTCCTCCTGAGTAGAAAAGGCTTCTGTATCACCATGCCCTAGGTGGTCAGTGCTCAAAGTCCCAGGGATGGAGACAGTGCCCATAGCTGCCATTTTGTTTTTATCATCATCATCCTTAGGCTAACTCCTCAGAAAACTTAAACTCAGAATCACTTTGTGTGTTGTAACCAGAATAACTAGTAACCAAAGCAGAGGAGAGACACTATTGTCCTGTAATTGCTGTCAGACTACATTTTTCTGATCTTTCTGATTTTACCGATAAGAGAAAGAAATCCTCTTGTCTGTCCCCTGTTACTTTTTCCCCAACTGCTGTAGGCAGTGAGCTCTCAAAGGCAATTCTTATTAAAAGTAGGGAAATTTTACCTCTTCTATTTGGTGAAGCTTCTTACAAATATAGCCATATTTTCTGTCCTCTAGAGAAAACTGAACCAGAGACAAAGAGAGAAACACGTCATTACTATAAAATCTAACATAACTCTGGATTTCATGGCAGGGCTAAGGCATCTGTAGTCCTTTGCCTGATCTCCCTGGGGTCATGAGCAAGACCATAGGCTCAGTTTCAGGATCCAGTCGACCTTGAAATAAGAAAATTTTTCTCTGCCTGAAAGCACTATCATAATGGTGCTCATGCTATGAAAAATATGGAATATTAAATATAAAAACAGAAACCATGGAATTTGGTCATTGTTCAAATGAGTCTTCTAAATAAGCTATAAAATTATTAGTGTCAGCAGAATTAAAACTAATTTTGTTTGTAGTAGCATTTCATCCTATTACTAATGATATCTATGAGCCAAACTTCAGAAGTCAGTTATAAAATGAAATACCCATTAGGAAAGTCTTTCTGAGTCGGCTGTGATTAGAAGGGAGGCACAGTTTATGAAGGCATGTGTGGGCTTGTGTGAAAAAATGCATTTTCTCTATCTTGAGCTTTGTTTAATTTTAAAATCTGCCCTAGAATGGACACTGGAGTTTTGCTTTAAGAAGACTCTGTTGATGTTTTCATTTGTTGATTTGTTGAATCATCTCATATCTGACTCACTAATAACTGATTATTTATGTTATTAGGAAAATTAGGCATTTTGTCTCCCTCAAGAAACTGTGTTGTACCACTGACAATAATAAGCAGGTACAGTATTCAGTTTGCTTCATTTGCTTTGTCAGCTTGTCCATGCGTTACAGTCTCCACTGTGCTCAGCTTGTCTTTCTCCATAGCTTATTGTAGTTGCCAATTAAGAAGGTTTATGGGAATTAGGCTCCTCTGACAAATACTAAAAAAAATTCCCCTGCAAGCCTGTACTGCTTTATTAGTGGTGCAAATCAGTTTTGATTTAGCTTGTGGCTGAGCTCTAGACTAATATATTTTATGAGGACATAAAACTCTGCCTCAAAAAAAAATGTTCTATTTCCTATCTTAATTTTTAAAACAAATGAAAAGTTTATATCCATTTGAGCATTTCACTCCTACAAATTCCTATCAAAACCAAGAATCATTGCAAATTAGTACTGTGATCTTTTTACCATTATATCATGCAAAGCAATACATTTGAGTGTTATCTTCTGAAGTAACAGAATTTTAATAAGCTGCTATATTTAAGAATTTTCCATGGTTTTATAACACAGAGAAACCTTGGTATCTCTTTAGATTTGTTGTTATTTTTTCTATTTAACTCAGGCTTTTAGTACTGGATTATGTGTACTTTCATGTTTTAAAATTTGTTGGTTAAAAGGGACTCCACAAACATAATTACCAATGATCTGTTTTTGAAAGCATATAAAATTTGGTCTTTGACTTTGATGGAGATTTTTAAAAAGTGGACAGTATCTCTAAGGGACATGAAGGGCTTCTGGGCATGATGCCATTTCAGTCAAACTTGATGGAGACCTGTGAAGTATGTGATCAGATGGTGAAGTCCAGGCAGGGAAAGGAAATAAACTGGGGACAGCAGATCCCAGGGACACTTTGGCCCCTTTGGTGAGAAGTGGTCTCCTCAAGAGAAAGCTGAGAGTAAGTCTAGTCAGACACACAAGGCTAGTTAGTAGTCTTAATGCATTAGAATGTGTCCATACCCATATACTTTTTCATAATGCTCTTTTAACATAAAATGTCTGAGTATTTCATCTGGAATTAGGAAACTGTCATATAAGAGAGTCATACACGTAGGTAAATCCATGAAGACCCCTGAGAAAGGAAAGAAATTGACATTATAGACTCTTCCAACAGCAAATTGTAGACTTATCAGAAGGAAGAGTGGTGATGGGATTGGAGGTCTATGTGACAGGTGACACAGGCAGAGAGGGAGGGCTCCTAGTGTCTCTTTAGGGACAAACTATGGGACACAAGCAGTGCAAACCAACATTTATTGGCTGTGGTTCTACACAGAACACGGGCCCACTTGGACTCATTCGTTTTCTTGCCAGAAACTAACCAAGTGCAGTCCATGTTCAACACCAAGCACATCCTTCCCCCACTAACTAGCCTTGCTCCTCCTCCTTCCTCCCTTTCTTATTTAATGAATGGGACCCCAGTCTCCCAGTCACCAATATCCTGCAACTCCATGTGTACAAATCCTAGCAGTCTTTCAGTGTCCAGCCCAAGAAACATAAAGTAACATCTCCCTCCTCAAGGCCCCCAAAGTGCTTTCTTTGCCTTTCATCACTGCCCCTCCCCCCGCCTTTTTTTTGGTCAGAGCTATTTATGTGGTAACTTTCTTTTCTTCTCTGGTTGGGTCACCAGGCTGTGCTTGTCAGTTTTGTCTGTTTTCACCCACACTGCCTGGCACACAGTAGGCTCTCAAAACTCCTGGTTAGCTTGAATTGAGATGAATGTCTCAATTCTGAAGGAGCTCTGGTAGCATAGTGCCTAAGGCATTTGCCAACCAGGAGGCCGATGGTTCAAACTTGCCAGTCACTCCTAGGAAGGCAGACTGGGCAATCTAGTTCCATAGAGATACCACCTCAGAAACCCATGGAGCGGTCACAATGAGTTGGATCTGACTTGATGGCAGTGAGTTTGGTTTCTTTTTTTTTGCCGGCCTTAAATCCTTGCTGCCTCCCAGTGCAAGCAGGCAGGCCCTTAGGACAGGACTTAAAGATGCAGAAGCAAGGGGCTACCTCTTTTTTTTCTGAGTCTCTAAATAGAAGTGTCATCTCTACCAGGAGTTAGCTGGTGTTCTGAGAAGAGTAGAAACACAGCTCTAATCCTTGAGCCATTGACATCACCTAATGGTGCTGCACAGGCCTAGAAAGATGCTTAGATTTTCCAGTAACAAAGCATTTTTCTCTCTCTGACTAGCCAGTGTTTTTCCTCTTTATAGAAGGAGGCTGAAGTGAATGGTAATGGGGTCTGCAACAGGAAGGACTCCCAAGAGGGTGGGAGCAGCCTGTCTGCAGGTGGTTCTGGTGACGCTGCTTTCTGAGGCTTAGCCCTGATGTCAGAATCTGCCCATGGATTTGCATCTTAACACGGAGTGAGATTGTAAGCCATGCTGCTGTCTTCTGGGTGATGCTTGTCATCTGCAAGGATTTCTTTTCTTATGTGGACCCTTTAACTCTCTGCCAAGAGGCAGAAAATGCTCAGTGAAATTTATCTGCTGTAAACATTGCCTCTCCACTCTGCACACTCGCAGGTGTGCACACACATTTGCACACACTTCCCAAATGCATGTGCACCCCCAGGTCCGTGGTGACCAGGGACAGGTGGGCAGGATAAACAGAACACAGCACAGGGGAGGTGTGAACCAAGTGCTGGAGAAGCACAAAAGGCAGGACCTGAAGAGACCAATTAGAATTTGACTAGAATAAGGGGCAACAACATCAGTAGCCTACATGCCAGATGTGGCCTGTTTTGTATATAAAGTTTCATTGGAACACAGCCAGGCTCATTCGTTTACATGGTATCTGAGACTGTTTACACTACAATGGCAGAGTCGAGTAGCTGCCACGGAGACCCTCTGGGCTGCAAAGCCTAAGGTATTTAGTGTCTGGATCTTCACAGAAAAAGTTTGCCGACCCATTTCTAGAAGATAATTATCCTTCCTGGATTTCTACCTTCTTAGACTGGGGAATATCTACCAGACCCTGATGAAATCCTCTCACCCATACACTTCTTTGGGCAGCCTTTGCTTCCCTGCCAACCCTGCATCCTGTTTCAAAGCCTGTCTTCCTACCAGTGAAGATATGAGGACCTAGTTTTCTCTGAGGGTTTTTCCTTGTCATGAGGTGAAAATCCAAATTCAAATGCGTGACTCTGCCACTATAGTCCAGGAATCAGGCTGTAGAGGGTAAAGAGGGCTTCCAGGAATCTGGCACTACACCTGTTCCTCATCAGCAGGCTCTGAGCTGCCTGAGGAGGGCAGCCTGGCCCACAGCAGTGGGACCTCCATACTGCCACCCACAGCTCAATCAGACATGAATCCCCTGCTCTCATTTCCTCCTCCAAGCCACGGACATGAAAATATGAGAACTCTAACCAAAAAACAAACTCATGCTGTGGAGTCGGATCTGACTCATAGCGACCCCTCCTTGGGTTTCCAAGGCAGTATCACTATGGAAGTAGATTGCCCAGTCTTCCTTCCAAGGAGTGGCTGGTGGGTTTGAGCCACCAGCCTTCTGGTTAGCAGTCAAATGCCTTAGGCACTACGCCACCAGAATATAGGTAGTACCAAAAAAAAAAAAAAAAAACCTAGTTGTCAGTGACTGAGTTCTGACTAATGGTGACCCCATGAGTTTTAGGGTAGAACTGCACTCCATAGGGTTTCAATGGCTATAATAGAGTTTTCAGTGGTTGTGATCTTTCAGAAAGGTGCTCTGGTGGCATAGTGGTTAAAGCATTCAGCTGCTAACCCCCAGCTGCTCCATGGGAGAAAACTGCAACAGTCTGGTTCTGTAAAGATTTACAGCCTTGGAAGCTCAATGGGTAGTTTCTACTCTGTCATATAGTGTCTCTCTGAGTCAGAATTGACTTGATGGCAATGGTTTGGTAAAAGATAAGCAACTTTATATTTAAAAAAAAAAAAAAAAAAAAAAAACCTCACTGCCATCAAGTCAAATCTGACTCATAGTGACCCCTTCTTAGGTTTCTGAGGCGGTATCTCTAAGGAAGTAGATTGCCCAATCTTTCTTCTGAGGAGTGGCTGGTGGGCTTGAACTGCCAGCCTTCTGGTTAGTGGTACTATGCCACTAGAGCTCCCAATCAACTTTATAGCAAAAATAAAAACAATGTATTACAGGGTTTATAAAATATGACTGAGAAGAAAGAAAGAATGGGAGGGTGTACATGGAAGTTTATTGTTGTAAGATTCTTACCTTATTCTTTGGAATGCTTGTGGAGCAGTTCTTCTCTGTTCTAAAGGGTCACTGTGAGTTGGAATTGACTAGTAGCAGTCATTTGGGGTGTTTGTTTTGTTTTGTTTAATCTTTCAGAAGTAAATCACCAGACCTTTCCCTTTGAGGTGCCTCTGGGTGGGTTCAAACTGCCAACCTTTCAGTTAGTAGCCAAGCACTTAACTAACTGTGCTATCTAGGGACTCCTAAGATTTTCAGTGACTGATTTGTCAGAAGTAGTCCACCAGGCCTTTCTTCCAAAGTATCTCTGAATGGACTGGAGCCCTGCAGTTAGCAGCCAAGCATGTTAACTATTTGTACCGCCCAAGAAGCCAGATGTGTTAGTAGTAGACTTGAAGCCCAGGGAAGACAATGTGGGAACCCAGCAGGCAGGAGGCTGGGGCTGCAGCCAGCAGTGTCCATGGGGACCGCCTGGGCCCTCTTCTCAGGGAGGGATGACATATGGCCATGGAGAAACCCTCAGGGAGGTGCAGATGTCTCACACCATGGAAGAGGAAATGGTTTTCTTGTGAAGTCAGGGAGCACAGCCCACCCAGTGAGCAGCCCCAGAACAAATTTTCTTGTTCAGCAGGGAGGGCAAGAGGGTAGGCATGTGCAGGGGACCATGGCCAAGCTCAGAGGAAGAGAGCTTTACAGAGCTCTCTTCCAAGTAGAGGTTTCTGCCTGTGAGATTTCATTGACCCTCATTTCATGACAGAAAGGTTATTTAAACCATGAAAATAATAGGAAGGACCTAATCTCTGACTGAGGAACAGTTACTTAACCTGAATAAATTTGGTTTTG